ATAATCCGGACCTCAAAGCTACAAACTTTCTGCGCATGCGTCGCGTTCACGCATGCGCACAGGCGTTTACGAGAGCGCGTAAGACCCTTACGGCTGCGAATATGTTTGTGCGCATGCGCGTTTAAATTGTAACGGAGTTATACGCTAAGCTAAAGTTATCTAATTCAGTTAATGTTGCCGATTGCGTTGTTCCTTAATCTTCGAATTGGATCCGGCTTATTATTTTTTGCAGACTGTTAGAGCAATTTTATAAAAGTAAGCTCGAACTTTTGATTATGTCAAATAGAATTTCCGATATATATTTACTACAAAGCGGATGTATGTTTTGAAATCCGAAATATGTTTATCAATTTCACGCTGCTATGCGGCAGAGGGGGGGGCAGAAACGTCATTATTAGGTCATTATTAGATTATGATAGATTAGAAAGATTATGTCAAATAGAATTTCCGATATATATTTACTAATATATAATTTGTATCTACAAAGCGAAAGTATGTTTTGAGATCCGAAATCTGTTTATCAATTTCACGCGGCGGATTGGAAGTTGATCTGTCAGCACTATCCTTATCTTCAGGGCAGATGTTTTTATTTTTATTTGGTTTATAATTCCTACTAAGTGTAGTATTTCATTCGATGTCTTTGATATGATTTAAATCAAGTTCCTCGTCATTATAATTCGCTTCCGATAGTGAAGAAAAGTGACCCAGAGGTTATTGAAAACGAAAAATTTCGATTGACAAATTAATCGGTATTCTCAACACAGCAATTATAGGACTTGAACAGCGGAACTTTGTAACTAAACAAGAAATTATGTCTGTTTAATAGAATTAAAGAGAAAGTATTATCACATGAAACGAAGCAAACTTACATTGAAGGAAAGGAAATGTTTAATAAAGTAAACAAATAAATATTAAGCTTTTTCTTTTTGTAAATTTTGATACCCTTTAGATCATAATTGTTCTTTATTTCATAAATTACGGTTTCATTTTTTTAATTTTGCAATTTCTGCATGCCATCTTACCACATTTAAACTGATGATCTATAATCCGGAAAAATCGATAATCCGGAATCGCCGAAGTCCCGACGAGTCCGGATTAACGACTTTTGACTGCATAAGGAAAACTATTTGAAAAAAATAAATAAATAAATAAATAAACGATGCACCATTGATTTAAACTACGCAGTTCGAAAGAGTAAATAGAAATTTTTAAAACAGTTAATTCGAAAGAAACCATGCAACTTAATTAAAATGAAATTCGAAAAACAGAAAAAATACTTAAAATAATAGCAGTTATAATTAAAAATATAATATAAAGAATATTATTTGGAAAAAGGAACGATCTTCTCAAGGGAAAGGAAACTAGGTTGCCATATATTAAGAAGTTCGCTAAAGTGAACAGTTATTCGAAAAAAAAACCATGCCAACTTAAACAATTAAATGAAATTCGAAAAAGAAAAAATTACTTAAATTAATATAAGTTATAATTAAAAATAAAATATAAAGAATATATTTGGAAAAAAAGGAACGATGGTTGACTTTTTTTCCTCTCAACCACAATGTAAAAAGGGAAAGGAAAATAGGTTGCCGTATATTAAGAAGTTTTCCAAGTGCAAACTGAAAATTTTTCTTGGCGCAAACTGAGAAAAATGCGCCAAGATAAATTTTTGAATTTCCTCCGTAAATTTCGCTATCCAAATATTGCAAAATTTCAATGTTTAGGCATAATTTGAGTCGTTAGAATCGAAATATGTAAAAAAATTGGCATGTCATTACAGAAAAAGTCTGATTTTGTGTCAAAATGTCTGATGTTAGATACAATGCTATATATAAATCTAATATATATCCTAAGTCGCGCTTTCGAGACATGAAAAAGGCAATTTGAATTTTGTCAATCAGCCCAGTAGAACGGAAGATATAGAACTGTCCCCCCCTTTTTTTTTGAGCAGTGTACATTTCATATATCACCCACTACATTTGTATTTTAGCATTAACTAGTGTTATAACAATGACAACAAGATTTTTTTTGTAAGAACAGATTATTTATTTTCCCTTTATTTCTCACCAAATAAGTTCCTTTATTATATATCCAAGGATATAAAACAGATATATGTCGTATATCAAGGTACCACTGCAGTTACGTATATTTAATAACAGTTTCTATTCATTATAAAAAATAAAACCCAAAATTTGTCTGAAATCGAATAAAAAATGACAAAGATATTTATTTCATTTCGAAATTTAAAATTTTTGCTGAGAGGGATATTTCTCTTTTAATGCCATTCAATGATATTCTTTTACGATTTACTAGTGTATGATTAATTTTAAATTCCATGAATAAGATCTGCTTGAAAAATTTTTACTGATCAATACTTTTCGTTAAAATATGCACAGCAATGCTCATCACTTAATCAGAAATCTTCTGCTATACTTCTGCTACATTTCTTCTACATTCATATTTACCGGAGGATGGAGGGCGTAAAGAGTTAAATTTCGCAACTTCTACAAAATTGATTTTTTTAATTTAAAAATGTAATAACAGGAAAATTTGCCTTATTTAAGGCATGTTTGTAAATGGAAGTCTAAATTTACGCCAACAGATGCGAAAATGAAGGACACATAATGAATTTGATGAAGAAAGTCCATAATAACGGCAATAAGAGCTCAAAGTTAAGTTCTTAAAAAAAGTTTCATAAAGGGTACAAATTCTGCAATAAAAGATAAATTAATTGCCGAAAATGTAAACACAGAATTAATTGCTTAAATATTATCGCACTTAGCAACTTAATAGAAATTAAGAAGAGATATTTCTGAGCTGAAAATAAAAAATGAAACGGAATAGCAAAATCTTTAATGATCACAGATAAAGAAATATTACTGGAAACAAAAATATTTGTTCATATTCTTATCGATCAAAGACAAAGATTGGGTGTTTTAAGCCTAATGGCACAAGCTTTATAGGGTAACAGAACACACTGAAGCAAATATTTTTCATCGCAGAACGCATAGTTACGGATTAATCACTTATGCGCTGTAGGTCACTTTCAAGAGCATGCGTAAAAATGGTGGTTTTTAACAAGCGCCAGTATTATTCTTTTAGTATTTATTTTATTTTTGCTTTGAATTACATATTTTTTCATGCACTTTATGTCTTTGCGCTTTACGGTTGTTATGAACTGGTGACTTTTGCAATAAATGTTTTTATTCATGGAGCACGGTTGACTCACAGCCGGTGCAACCGATGTGACGGCAGGAGGCGACAGAATTTATAAGTCGCAAAAATTGAACTAGGATGCAAAATACCCAGAGTCGACCCTGCGCTGGAGTTCTCTCAAACCATTCAGCTGAGTGCACCTAAATGAAAGATCAATGTTAAAAATTAGGCAAAAAAGTAATCTTAGTTTGGTGTAGATTTTGGAAAGTTTTTTTTTAAATTTAACACCAAACTATACTTTACTTTTTTAAATAATTTTACATTGGCACCTTTTTCTTCCTATTTGTAAGACCAAAGATCTTTCTTTCATTTAGTTGCAATGGAAGAAGGTGATCATGCTCAATTGCTGAAAGTACTGCTAAAATAAAATCTATGCCAATTTTTGTTAATTTTCTTACAGTTAGTTCTGCTTAGCATGCGCTTTTTTTCTATCCAAGTTAACTTTTATTCACTTCTTAAGTGCCTTTCTTTGCCATCCCCTCAGAGAGGTTCAGCTCCAATCTTAATGTCATATTTTCACTAAGCTTATTTTCTCTATACCGGTTTAGTCCCGGCCTCAAGCGGTATTCGGGCTTAATTTTCCTAGCTCGTTAACTATCACTAGAGGCTTAGAATAGATTAGTATTCTTCTTGCATCTTTGCGTTCTGGAAAACAGCGTGGGTAGCTTTCCATTGCCTAACCGCTTAACATGCGACTATGCATTCTATGGTTCAGTGTTTATTTCTGTATTTTTATCTCCCTTAATGTTTGTTCCATTAATTTTGAAATGACCTGTACGTTTCCTATGGGCAACCCCAGCTGAAAATATATCTTAATACAGTACATAAAACTAAACAGCAAAATTTTAACTGTTTGCTGTAAAATTAAAAATAAGAGAAATAAATAAATAAATAAAAATTTAAAATTTATCAGAAATACAAGTTTTAAAATTTTTATAAAAAACAGCTATGACCCTTCTGGCAAAATTATTACATACATAATAATGATTATATGTATTTAACAGTATTTCATACATATAATGGAATGTAGAATTAGCTGACAACATGAGGATGGCATCTGCATACACTGTAGCTTTGATTAAACATATCTTCTATTATTTTTCTCAATATTTATTTTTGGTAATTTACAGTGATGTGTGCCATTTAATGTATTGGACTCCAGAAAGAGAACTAATTCAAATGATCTTTACTACAAGTTAAAAAAAAAATAAAATAGAAACTCATATATCCAGATCGATTTACATAAAAAATGAACAAGCATGCTTAAAATACAGTCAAACGTCTTTAATTCGGACGTCCATAATCCGAACCTCAAAGCTACAAACTTTCGTTGTAGCTTTGAGGTTATGCGTTTACGCATGCGCGTTTAATGTATAACGGACGGTATAAGCTAAGCTAAAATTATCTAGTTTAGTTAATGTTGCAGATTGCGTTGTTCCTTAATCTTCTAATTGGATCCGGCTTATTATTTTTTGCAGACTGTTGGAGCAATTTTATAAAAGTAAGCTTGAACTTTCGATTATGTCAAAAAGAATTTCCGATTCTGGAGCTACCAAAAGATATACAAAGCGAAAGCATGTTTCGATGTCCATCAAACAAAAAGTGGAATGGCTGCAAAATGGATAAAGGCATATCCTTTGTTTCTCTAATCATTCCGAAATCTGTTTATCAATTTCACGCTGCTCTGCGGGGGGGGGCATCGCGGCGCGTAATGAACTGGAAGGAATCTGATTTGCATTTACATTTCTTCCTGGCACCTTAATCTTTTTAATGAATCTAAAAATTACCTCATTTGTATTCCAGCGGTGACGCTGGTTGGGAAAATAATCCGCTTTCGGTATGCTTTCCAGGCTTTCCGGAAGGACAGGTCGGCTCTCTTCAGCTTCTGAAATAAGAAAGATTCATAATTAGCTAAAATAAGTCTTAAGCATCGATAAACCAAAATAAATCCTAAACAGAAACAACAGAATAGTTTGTGGATTAAACAATCCCAGATAGATGCTAAAACTGTAAAAGGGAACCTATTACATTTCAAAATTATGAATCAAATTTAATCAAATTTAAAGAAGGTCCCTTAATATTTTAGAAAAGTTCTTATGAAGTGGATATATCAATCATATGAAAGTTTATAACACATTATTGATTATTTATATTTTCAGCATTGTAAAAGTGAAGTAAAAAAAAATGATATATATTTATACCCCATACTCAAATAAATCATGCGATTACCCCAACCTCGCATAAATAAATCTTTAGTATAAAAATTTAGAAATGAAATTACCATAAAAATATAAAATGTAATTGAGTAGAACATTTAGTAAAAAAAGTCAATTTGCATTGAAAATACAGCGGTCAATTTAATCATAGAATATAAACTTATTAAATATTTAACTCGTAACACATCTGCCTGTAATAATATTGTAAAAACATATTGTAGAAGATTATTCTTCTTAAAATTCATTAATATGATGAATTTTAAGATTTAAGATTCCTCAAAATACATTTCAACTATTAATAGTGAAATTGAACGCTAAACTGTCTTGTACTGATGAAAAAATAAAAGAAATTAAGAAAACATAAAAATTTACAAAAGTTACAAAATATACATATATCTCCGTAGTGGATCATAAAAACACTTCATCATAAACACTTCGCATCCACAAGGAAAAACTGGCATCACAGAATCTCCTTCGAAATGTGATTACATAAAACCTTGGGAGTGATTTTGCATGGGATGTAAAATACATTAATAAATTGTAATAGAAAATAAAAAATAAATTATTAAAGTAATAGAAATTTCATATAGGTGCACATACTACTTAGGCGTTATTGATGAATAATTTGATTTAAAAGTACTTTATGCCTGCGCATTGCATATAGGTAATCAACTCACTTACAGAAAGTTATTTTACAAGATATGAGAATCAATCATTGTTTGTTACTTTTAATATTTAGCTTGCATACTTGAATGCCCCCCCCCCAAAAAAAAAACCTGAATACAGCTTTAAATCTTTACATTGAAAAAGAGAAAACAATTATCTGCTAAGAAAAAGGAAGAATTAAGACGTAATTATATTTACCTAACAGAACTAAACATTCCTAAAATGCATTAAAGCGCATAAAATGGCTACAATTTGCTGTATCACTTCATTAACCAATTAATATTCTTTAAAAAAGGTTATAATTCTTAAATAGTCAATATCAGAAGAAATATTTTCCACCTGCTTCCACCTGCTGTTCAGCGTATGTCACCAGTTATAAAAAAGAAAATCATAGAATAACTTATGCTGATGACACAAGTGCATGGAGTTTTATACACTAGTAGTACAGCACTAGAGACGATTAGCTGTAGACGACAAGCTGTAGTTGTGCATTTATTTCACTGGATCACTTGTGCATGAGGACTTGCAGCAATATTTTCTGTTTAGCGAGGACAATAAATCAACAAATTAAAGCAATAAACAGCTAGAAAATGTTTTAGAGGTGTTTAAAAATAAGAATAGTCTCAGTTAGAAGTACGAAATCATTCAAAGCTTTTATTTCTCCAAACTTTGAGATGAAGATCATTGACTGATGAGACTACAGATGAGAGCAGTGCAGTTATGAAACATAAGCAATAAGATAACATCTTAGGCTTCAAGAAAACTCCTCCTCCCCGCTCGACTTAAGTGCAACCGACATCTATTTTATGTGTATATTTTAAAGTACATATCAAGAGATTAAGTGAGTAACTTTAACACTCGATGGTCTACTGCAGATGCAACTCCTGAACGTTATGATAAAGATAAGGAAATGTCATGGAAAATGAAGATAGACTAAAAGAAAAATTAGTCAGCTACATATTGCTCACCCTTTACAACTAAAACATTCGTAAATATCCAAGCGATTTAACACTTTTAATTCTTTTATCCATTTGTTCAGAGTCTAGGCAGTATCGTAGGGGAAAATCATACCATAATCACCTTCCATTAATAAAAGTACTAGTTGGGACCTGTATAGAGACTTAACTGGGGATAGAACTTTACCGCTAAGAAAGTGGATTTACAAGTAAAACATATGACTCTTTACTCGTACATTATGATTCTCAAGTTATATGCATCACACGGGACATCAGATTAAACGAAATGCGGAAAGTACTGTTTATATTTTCGAGCTACTCTTACAAATGAACGGATAAAAATACCCATAATATACCCAAAAAATATCAACTCCAAAAAGGGACATGAAAACTTTTAACCTATGGTTGTTCAAAATCGAATATTCACAAACGGGAATGTAACACGCGATCATAAATGCGCTACCATACATTAAAATATTTTCTTTTTTCTATTCCTCCATCAAATAAAGGGTCAGGATGTCCCATAAATCCATTTTAATCAGTGGGTCAACAATTTTAACTGTATTGCAAGAGTCATAATAACAAATCACCTTGAAAGTTCTCATAGCAGAACACGAATTCTGATAATGAAGTGGACTTGATTGCCAGATGACACTTCTTCTAAAAAATAAGTAATGAAGTCTAAATGCGGAATAAAAGAAAACTATTCAATGGTTATGCGTGAAATTGATCGAAGAGGTTGGTTCTGCACTACAAGACCATATACCAAACAATAAAGCAAAGACATGGAAAAACACATACATTATGACCATTACATCGAGAAACACCGAATGGGTCGGAAGAATGTACAATGGAAATATCACGCTAATAAAGGGTATGATTCCCTTTAGCTGAAATGCATGCTTCATAAACGATGAAATAAGCTATTAATAGTATCCTTGATCGCTTGCTGTGGCAGTAGCGCCGATTTCTGTACTAATGCACGCCGGAGCTCATGGAGGGTACCTGCCCGCACACTGCGACCAGCTATCCGTAGTCTCAACATGTCCCACATAATTATACTCTATGCGATTTAGGTCCGGTTTATATAGCAGGCTATGCAGATGTGAAATGGTTTCACTCTCCAAATAACTTCACACCACTCGTGCTGTAAGCAGGCGGGCGTTGTCCTTCATAAATATCGCGTCGGTACCCTTTGCAGCAATAAAAAGACGCACAAGAGGGTTCAAAATTTTGTTGCGATATCTAATGGCTGTAATGGAACCACCAAGAATCACGTAGACGCCGATGCATCCGTTCGTTCCTATCCCAGACCATAGAAGTAAACCTCGTCCTCTGTAATGGTCTCTTTTCACGATGTTTGGCATCCGATAGCTTTACCCTGGCTCTCCTAACCTTACCCTTTGGGAATCGTTCTGGATGTTAAATCGAGACTCCTTCTTACAGCGTACGTGTACTCACTGCTCTGATGTTCAACTGCGATGCTTACGGCCCCTTTCAACCGCGCTCTCACATGAGATGGGGACAAAGGAACACATACATAGATCGTCAGGCGTACAGTCAACTTTTATGCAGTCAACGAGCCACAACCTGGCGGGATAGGGTTCGTCCCCCAGCATCAAAGAGATGCGATACCAGCTGCCGTGCTGTCAGTGATCTACGGGGTTTTGCACATTAGCAACAGAAAAAGATAGGCTGCTGTTGTGCTAATACTCCGGCGTCCAGACCCACGCATTCTAGAGGGCTTTTGATCCCTTTGGTAACGATTCGACGGCCTAATGATGACACTACGTTGCACATTCATCTCTCTCACAAAAGCGGATTGCCTTGCACCAGAATGCAACATCCCGATACCTTTCCAACATATTTCATCGTGCAAGTAGTGTCTTCCGTTCATGCTTTCCGTTTTTGCTATCTTGGATTACAGAGGGTACCGCTTAATAAAATCCCTGCTTTAAAAAATCAAATTCTTTAAAATCTTTATTCTTTTTCATTTGAAGCAACGAATTCAAATGAATACAATATCATTACAAGATAACCGCTTAATAAAACCAAAGTTACCGCTTATAAAAATCACATCACTTTTAAAATTTTAAAGTCAAAACCCGAAGTTTGTATTTCAAGTTTAGTGATTTTGTTCAAAGTCGATTTACTTCCGCACATGGGGGTACAAACGCTAGAATTTTCGTATCTGGACCAATCATGGGTGATTGTGGATCACAAGAGATTTGTCAGAATTGGCTCAGACCAGTTGGAAAAAAAGGAGAACATTAAAAAAAAAAAAAAAAAAAAAAAAAGCTGAATAAATAGAGGTTCGCATTTAAATGATTCTGATCTCCGGATATACTGAATTCTGATGACAAGCGAGGAAAACCTTCTTTTTACTAATATCGAGCCATAGAGCTTTTGTTACACAAGCTGTACAACTTTTAGGTTTATATGGATAACATAAAAGAGCTAAGAGGTAACAAGAGAGGAGCTGTTTCAGGGCTAATAATTTCAATGAAGAGGAAAAGCCATTATTAAAGTGATTTAAACATAAGATTTTAAACCAATTCCTGAAAAGCTTATTCTGAAACAATAGATATAAATTTTTCGATCCATCCATAAAAGAAATAATTATAAGTAGAAGTTTATCAATAGGTTTACCACTTGTCAGCAATGAAAGTGATGAATAGTTTCTCACTTCATCCAAAAGACGGCTAGGAGCTGTTTAAGGTCGAGATAAACGAATATTGGATTTCTAAGAACTAAGACTTCAGGTATAATAAAATAGACTGTAGGAAATTAAGTCCAAATTAAATTCTTTGCTTAAAGGAAAGCGAGAGAGAGAGAGATAAAAATTGCACATTTTAAAGCGGACTCTCCTTTACAAATCTTGTTACAAATAAGCGATAATCAAATTCAGAAATCTGATCGACTTTTACGTCATGTCTTCAATATGACGAGCTCTGTGACCCAGAATAGTTGAATTCCAAATTTACAGCATTTGACTAACGAACCTACAAACTTTCGCAACACCTACGTCTACCCAGAAGGCGGCCCGG